ACAGTCGGGCGAGTCAGCCCTTAAACAGGTAGAAGACTGCATTGTTTATCAGTCAGGCAACAGGTAAAAACTAATGCCAGACACAGTGCAGAAAAACAACGAGAGACACACAGAGAGAGAGAGAGAGAGAGAGAGAGAGAGAGAGAGAGAGAGACAGATGGAGGGATAAAAAACAAATGACTTAGGCAACGAACTTGCCTGCAATTTTCAACAGGATCGTACAATTCAAATTGTCCAGCTAGCCAAATTGCTTGCTGAGATATCCTATTAAGTATTTCTCGATTTTGCTAAACTGAATGCTGAAGTTTCATTGCCGTTAGAATTGCATTCAGATTTGAAAAGAAAACTTAATTTTAATGAATTTTTTCTGCTATATTTTGATAGCTTTAAGCATTGATTATTCTCAAAGTGGTTATTCAATAACCACTGATTTATATTAGATGTGTTTTTTCACTTTTTCAAAATTACAGAGATCTCTCCAGCTCCTGACAGCAATGTTAAAATGCTTTTAGTTGTTAATAATACGATTCAGTTTGAAATTAGCTTACTTCGACATTCCGTTGAGTTATGTACAGGGTTAGTGGTAGAGGAGGGAATGAGGGGCTATGGCCAGAGGGCAGCGGAACTTTTGCAACCTTTCGCTAACTTCCGGCCGTGTGTTGTAACATCTGCGTGTGCGTCAACTGAATTGAACTCAAACAGTATTATTTTTTTTTTGGCTTGACTTGACTTGGCTGTCTTCTAACAGCTGCCATGGCCTCTGGTTGTTGTGACTGTTGTTGGTGTTGTTGTTGTTGTTGTTGTTATCAAGTGCTAAATGGGCAATGTTGACTTATCGCAGCGACTTTATCAATGAATTTCCTTTGAATTTATTGACTTTTACTTTGGGTGCCCCGCAGAAAGAAATGAAATGAAAAGATGGCTAAAAAAGCGATTGTGAATTTTTTACGCGACAGGAAGTTGGGCAGTTATTTTGGGTAGCAGCAGTAGCAAAAGCAGCTGTTGTTGTTCTTCTTGTTGTTGTTAGTGCTGTTGCTGTATCTGTTCTAGGAATTTTCAAACAGTATATAGTAAGTGCGCAGCAGACCTTGTCTTAAGGTCGCACTTCGCATGTATATATATGTACATATGTAGGTATATATGTATGTGTCTATATATTTCGTGTATGAATATTTATGGTTGCAACTTTTGCGGCACGCAACAGTTGAGAAATTTTTTTATGAACTAAAAGACTATAGACTCGAGCAATATGTATATTTATGGGGTAAGTTTTTAGCGTGTGTTTGTTGTGTGTGTGTGTGTGTGGTTGGGCTTGGGAGCAAAATCACAGACGCTGGCAAACAGCAATTATGGCCGTGGCAACACCACCACAACAACAGCAACATCATTATGTTGCACTTGAGACACGGCTGCCTTTTGGGCTTCGTTCAGTTTTGCTTTGGTACGCTGCTTGTTCTTGTTCTTTTTAGATGCTATAGACTCGTCGTATTCTGGCCATCTACATCTCTCGTGTGGCATGCCCTTGCCAAGAATCGTGTTGCCCGCTGTTGCTGTTGTTGTTGTTGTTATTGTGTTTGTTGTTGCTGTTGCCTGTTTACTGGTTCTACCACTTTTCTGTTGCCTTGACTTTGCCTTTGGTCTTGTGCCTTGTGCTTTGTGTTTTGGACAAATGGCAGCTCCAGCTTCAGCTTTAGCTCCAGCTCGAGCCCAGGCGCTGGAGCAACGCCCAAAGTCAACTTGGCCTTATGTACACACTGCGCGAAACGGCATCCCAGCCCCAGCCCCAGCCCCATCATCATCATCATCAACATCATCATTCTCATCATCATCATAATGATCTTTGACTAGCTGCAACTTTTCTGCTACTTTTGCTAGCTACCTATCTTTGGCCTTTTCCACTTCCACTTCTGCTGCTGTTGCTGTTGTTGCTTCTACTTCATCTTCTTTACCCATTTGTTTTACTGCCCATTCGAGTTGTTCGCAACTTGTACTTTTGCTTGGGTCAAAAGAGGCAAATCTCTTCGGCTTGGGCGCTGCTCACATTGTTATATAATTTGCCCATTGCTAACTAACTTTATATGTATATATAATATATGTATGTATGTCTGTCTGACTGTGAGTGTGTGTGTGTGTGTGTGTGTGTGTGCGTTCAAGTGTGTGAAGTTCTTGGCCGCTAACCACCGCTAAGACAGAGACCACTGAGCCACTGAGTCAGGCCGTAATGCAGTATATGCTGCAAGGTCTGCAAGAGGAACGTTAACAACTAACGAACTGTTTGTGTGTATATGTTTTGCCACAGGGTGGCTCAAGTAATAGAAAAAAAAAACCAGGCAATATAATAATTAAAATTATCAGAGATGAGCTCTGGAAAATGCTGACTTATAAAAATAAAATAGGTGAATTATAAATTAAAAAAATCTTCACTCTGTTGCACAAATTCGATCAGATTTTCTTAATTTAGCTCCAATATTTTGACTTTCTTCCTCTCACTCAAATTGTTGCAGCAAGTTAAAGAAAATTTAAATAGCAGCATTTCGAATTATATGGGATATGATCATAGAACTTTTTCGTATGTGAACGATCAACGAAACACTCAAGTTTATCTTCTATATTATGGGTAATCTATATTATAGCTAAAAGAAAAACCCAGACACACACACACAGAGAGTAATAAGAAGCTGCGTGTGATTTAAGCTGAGGTTGGGGTACCCAAGAACGACGAGCAATTTCCACTTCCACATCCACTTCCACAACAACACTTGCCACTCTACTCCATTCCATGGCACTTTATTATACCCTACCGAAGTATACAATTCCATTCTATCCATTCCATCCATTCTATTTTATACGTTCTATGTTATGCCGTTTATTATACTTATTCCTACATGTAATTATGATATTTTTGCGCAAAGACAAAGGGCAGTTAAGCCGCAGACGCAGACGTCGTGGTTGCCGCAGTTGCCGCGTCATGTGAAACAAAAGACTTAGGCAACGAACTTGACAGCGAATTTGATGCGAGTGCGAGCACAACAAATCAGTGAAGCGAACCATAAAAAAATCTGTGCATATATATATATATATATATATATATATTTATATATATATATAATATATGTATATATGAAACTGAAATCTGACTACCCAAAATCGTAGCATCATCGAGAACCTAACCGAAAATTCACTTTCAAGCCGCAAACGAGAAATTAATAAAATTCTGATTAGTCCCAAAAGAAAGTTATACGATTTGAATTTATTGATATGAATATTTCTTTTCTTTATTTTTATTTTTAGTCATGGTCAAGGGTGAATCGAGCGACCGCCTGTTGCGCTCTCCCGTCTTCAAAATGACTTAATAAGCCGCCTCAGCGATTATATAAGCCAAACCAAATAGATGCCGGAATAAACCAAAACATGGAGAACTAACAGCGTTCTTTCGTTCGTTCGTTCGTTTTTTGGCAATTCAATGAAAGTGATTGATGTTGGCCAAAGATTCGGCGTAGAGTTTACAAATATAAATACAAAAACAGAAACAACAACCAGAACAACATCAGAAAAAAAAGCCAAGGGTCGTGTCGTGTGGGCGTCAACAAACGCTCGACGCTGCTTAATTTGTTGCTGTTGTTTTGTATTTGGCTTGAAGCACACTGAGCTACCAAAGCTTTTGGTGTGTTTTTTTTTTTGTCTGGTTGTTGTAGATTTGTAGAACTCCAGACTGGTGTAGATAGCCATCAGCATTTGTCTGACTGATTTGTAGCTATTATATGGTCATAAGCATTTATTTGCCTGTCAGCTTTTCTTCTAGCACGTAATGAGCTGGAAGTATAACAAATGCACAGGAAATGTAGTTGTCCTTAAGGCACAGCTCGATTTCGAATACGAAAAATGCTACTCGGAGCGATTCTATCTGATTCGCAGAAACCCAAAGAGCATGCCAAATAACTATTAAATTAGTAGGCGAGAACTACTGTGGAGCTCCATGTATTCGTGGGTGTATATAAAAATCAAATTATTGTTCTATTACGTAAATTTATTATATATGTAGCTATTTTCACAGGAGTACCTATTGAGAAGATAATTTATGCTTATACTGAGATTGTGCTTTATAATTGCATTATAAATTCATAGCCACATATGAGAAACTCATAATTCAGTTCGAATTCTAAGGCTCATGAAATCCTAAGGCAAAAACTTCAAACTCGATATTCTAAGGAATACAAGGTAAGCTCGAGATTTGGAGAAACATTAAATTGTTAGCCAGATCCGCGTCGAAATTGGGGTGCTCCGTCCACTAGTGTGCCTTGGAAATGAAAATCGATAATCGCAAATCGATAAAGCCATATGGGAGATATATGCCTTTAATTTTACAGCTACAAATCACCAAATTTGAAAGGTATATTGCTATGCTATTATTGCTATTCTAATATTTTCTTTCGCCCACTCCCGCATCCAAAATTCTCAAAGGCCCACATCTCCCGAAATTTAGGCGCTACAGTTACCAAACTTGGAAGGAAGATTGTATGGTAGATTACTAAAAATCTCTTTTAAAGAGTCATCTGTTATTAGATGATATTACTTATAGTATCAGAGTATTTTGCAGTCGGTTACGACTTGATTTTTGCTGAGTTTTATTTAAATAAAACTCGAAAAGCGAAATGAAGTTTACTTTTGATGAAGAATTCTCACAATAGAATCGTAAACATAAAAGCTCCAAAGTTTTCATTCAAAAAAGGGAAATGTTTTTCTTTTTGTTTCTTTTTTTTATTGTTATGTGCATTCATTCTGGTGTGCAAGTTATTTGATCCGATAGTTGAGTTGAGTGGATTTCAGTTAAATTTACGTTGCGTTCACGATTTGCATAGGGCTAATAAAATTGTTCTGCTGCATGGCAGTCAATGTCTTAGACAGCGAACTGAACAGATGTTGGGTAGGTTCGCTGCCTAAGTCATTTGATTGGAGCATTTAAAACAAAATTTGAATTGAGATTGGGCATATCAACTTACCATTTTGAACTTGCTCGGGTATCGTTTGCGGTTTGGTCTCGACATTCAAATCGGAATTGGTATTGGAATTGGAATTGGAATCGGAGTTGGCGTTGGTGTTGACGTTGACGTTGGATTCCTGCGCCAACTCGAGACTGTGACGCGTTTGGCCAAAATAATGTCGCCGATGATGAAAACGTTTGCGCGCCGACGATGGCGCCGCTGTTAAACTTAGGGGCTGATCATCGCCTTGAACTTGACCCTGCGGCTCCGGTTGTTGTGGCGATGCAGGCGTTGGTGTTGTTGGTGTGGGTGTTGTTGGTATTTGTATTGGTGGTGATGGTGATGGTGATGGCGCATTATCCCGATTGGGACTAAGCGGCGGCACCAAGCACCGTTCATCGTCCTGCGCCTTGTGCTGCAGCAGATTCTGTGACTCGAGCAAACGTTGCTGCTGCTGATGCAGCCGATTCTTGATCAAAAAGATTTTCGGCATTTTGGCTGGCTTTTAATTTAAGTTTAGCTAGTTAGCTGTTTCAATTGGGTTCTTTCATCTATTTGTTGCTGTTGTTTCAGAAACCCACAGACACACATATGTACATACACGCGCGCGAAATAGCACAAATCACATATACGACGGATACACACACAAACACACACACATACACACACACACAGGCACAGTAAACAAAACACTAATCCAAGTGTGTGTCTGTTTATCACTGTGGTGTGGCTGCTGCTGTTGTTGCAATATGAACGCAGTTTTTTTTTTATCCTTTTTATCAGTTATGCGTTGTTAAAAAAAAAAATACATTTGTATATAATTCAAATCCAGAGTTGCCAGAGATTTGTATTTGGATTTGTTGAGCTTGGCTCAGTTTATTTTTTTGTGTTTCTTCATAATTTCCAAATGTGATTATCCATATATATATAAATATATATGTATGCAGCGCACTTTGAAAAACAAAACAAAAATTTGCAAACTTATTTTTTTCTTCTATAATATATAAATAATTATATATATTTATAGATTTTTTCTGCTTCAGCGTGTTCTATATATTAACTGTTATTTTTGTAAGGCAGTTTATTTGTAGTCTATTTTTCAATTATTACAAAACGCGAATTTTTCGATGCTGTTGTTGTAGTTGTGCGTGTGTAAATGTAACCGAATTGCCAAAGTTGTTGTTATTGTTGTTATTATTATTGTTGTTTTGTGTGTTGTGCTGTGCTTGGCAGACTTTTGTGCAGCGACAAAACACGTGCATTCACAACGCCGGTTCGCCTCTTACTGTATTCAAGCGGTGCCAGCCGCTGAGCAGTTAGGCCAAAGTCAAGCAATACCGCTGCGCGAACAACAGCAGCAGCAGCAACAGCAACAGCAGCAGCAGCGCAGCGATACAACAAACTCAGTTAGTTTTAGAGGCGAATTCGAACGACGAACGCAAAACACCGTAAGCCGCACTTGAAACACACACATACGCACACACACACACAGACACATAGTGAGAGATAGAGAGAGAGAGCGAGCGTGAGAGAGCTCAAGTTCGCTTTCGTCTGTGAGTCAGTTGGTGTCGTCAAACAAAGGCACACGCTTCGGCGGAGCTCGGCACAGCTCGGCTTTGGCAACGGCTTCGGTTTCGCTCTTGTAACTGTGTTTTAGCTGCCGCTCAGCGCTGAGCACCTGAGCTGACGGACACGACGCGATGATCGAGAGAGAGTGAGAGTGTTTTGGACTGCGTCTGCTGCCGTTGTTGTTGTTGTTGCTGTTGCTGTTGCTGCTGCTGCTTCATTTCGCTCACATAACGTTTCTCATGCAGTTTTTTTTTGTTTTTCGCTGCGTCTCTTCTTCTTTTTTCGCCGTGAGTGTGTGTGTATGTGTGTTTCTTGTTAGTTCAGAGTCAAGGTAGAGGTAATGTTTTATCGACGCTGACGTCGCTGCTGATCGCATGTTGTTGTTGTTGTTGTTGCTGTTGTTATTGTTGGTTTAGCTGCCTTTGCCTGTTGCTCGCTTTGGTTGCCTCCGTCGTCGTCGTCATCGTCGTCGCCGTTGCTGCTTTTGCCATTTGCCGGTTGGGATGTTTTACTCGTTTTGTGTGTTTGTTTGGCTTGTACTTGTTGTACTTAGAGCTGCTTAAAGCTGTTGTGGCTGTGGTTGTTGTTATTATATTTTTGTTATGTCTTTGGTCTTGACTCTGAAAACCGCATTTGGCTGCAAATGTTATAAAAATACTTACGTTAAATGATTTTACAACAAATGTTGTGGCTTTCGGCGTATAGAAGCCAATTAATTAATATGTGTATATATTTAGATGTGGCAGATAATCGGAACTTTCAGAAAATATATACAGCCCAATAGTGGTTAACAGATATTAGTTAAGAACTTCTTAATGCAACATGAAATTTATTCGAAGTACCATAAGAACATTCTGAGGCACTTCAAATCTAATTATTACATATTACCCATTAAAATCATTGTGACTATATGTGTAAGTTTGTTGTCTTAGTCTTTTGTTTGTGTTCGAATTACAAGCCTGACATATTTCTTTATGTATATATTTAGCTACAACTTTTTCAGCTTGACCAAAGTCTGTTTCTCCATAAGACCCTTGAAGAATTTCATTTCATCATTATCGACAGCACTTTACGTGTGTGTACATGTGCGCGTGTGCGTGTGTGTGTGCGTGTGTGTGTGTGTGTGTTTGACTCCGAGAACGCGTAGATACGCCAGAAGTACAAGAACAGAACAGCAGTAACAAGAACAACAACAGCAACGTCAATAAGTACCATATAAGCGAAATTAAACGGCAAAATAGTTGGCAACGCGCCTCGTACTCATATACATATGTGTGTGTGTGTGTTTATGTGTAAGTGTGTGTGTATGGGCAATAAAATGAAGAAGCAGCGACGTTGTCGGCTTGTAATAAGCGCTTAGAACGCGCTTAGAATGGCAATAAGATTGCGGCAATATTCGCCGCAGCCACTCAATCTCTCTCTCGCTCACGCTTTGCTGCGCTCTCTCTCTCTCTCTCTGTCTTTCTCCCTCTCCCTCTCTCTTAAAGTCCATCTCTCTCTCCCTCTCTCTCTCTCTCTGTCGCTGTCGCTGTAGCCAGCACAAGTGCGAGGGCAACGGCAACTAACGTTATTTCACACACTTTGCGCTCGTATGCGTGCCTGGGTCGTGTGATGTAAGCGCAGCTAGCGAATTCGCCGCAGCGCACACCTGTGTGACACACACGCACACATGCGCATGCAGAGCGGCGACGTAACAAATTTACAGCTAGCTTTGTAGCTGTATGTGCCAAACACGCGGCGCAAAAGAGCGCAAGAGCCAAAAGAGAGCAAGAATTGAGAGAGACAACACAAAAAGTGAGAGAGAGAAGAAAGAAGAGAGAGAGCGAGACTCAGAGAGCGAGAGCACACGCAACAAATACCTGTTGGCAGTGGCTTTGACTGTGACTCTGACTTTGCCGTCGAGGCAGCAACACAAGCAGCCGCGGCAGCAACAACAGCAGCAACAGCAGCAGCAGCAGCAGCAGCAGCAGCAGTGCCTGTGCTGCATTTGTGGTGCCTTTTAGCTGCTGCGCGCGCTTCTTAACTAATTGTTGCTGTTGTTGTTTCTTCACTCTCACTCAAATGCCGCTGCTAACCAAATGCAAGTGCTGCTGCTGCCGTCGCCGCCGCTGCTGCTGCTGCAGCCCTTTGCAAAGCAGCAACAACAAGCAAGTGAAGCATCCTGCTGACTGAGATTTTCTTCTTTTATGTGTATACATACAAACAAGATGCGTTTATCTTTTTTAAGCGTTTTCTTATGGGTCACGCGTTGCGTTTAATTTTGAAATCAAGCCTTTTTTTGTTTGCGAATTGCCAAAAAGTCCCTCATTGGGCGCCATAAACTGTTAATATTCATTTTAAATATAATATTATTTGTATTTATTTCGCAGTAATGTTATTCAAAATGCGATAAAAGAAAAATAATTTGGATATTAACAATGTTTTGGACTCAATGTTTTAGAATCTGTAGTTTTTATTTAATTTATTTGTTTGTATTAGATATTATCTTTGTATGTATACCTTAATTGTATTAAATGTAATATGTTCTTTATAGTTATTACATTATAAATATTATTATTATTATCTTATGGGAGTCTAAACTACACCTTCATTTTTCTTATAATCGAAAAAAGTTTGCTTCAAGGCAGCTCTGCCGCTCTATGCTATTGAAAAATCCTAGAAAAATAATCCAGACCTAAGCCAGGGTCACTTGTAACTTACCTTGATAGGTGTATGCGTGTGTGTGTGTGTTCTTATCGGCTCTCTAATTGTGTGTGTGTGTGTGTGCGTGTGTATGTTGTTGCCTGAAATTGCGCATGAGTGCGCACACACACGCACACACAATTTATGCTTTGAGCCACAACTTCGGTTACTCCTCATTATCATCAACTTCATCATGAACTAAAAAATCATCATTATCACTAGTGGCAACATAATGATCTTTGGCTGTGTCTACTGTGCGGTAATTGCAGTCTTTAAGAATGTGTTCTTTTGGGCCTTGCTGCTCTCTCTCTCTCTCTCTATCTCTCTATCGATGTCTTTTACGGCTCTTTTTCTCTCCTTTTATCTGTGTGTATGTAGTGCTGCTCCTCCTCCTACTCGTACCTTGCGCTGTTTCCTTTTGCTTGTTCTTTCCGTCGTTTTTCTCTTCGCTTCTCTTCTCTTCTCTTTTTTTCCTCTTCCTCAAAAAATTTTTTTTTTTTTTTCATTTTTATCTTTATTTGCTCAATTGTCGTCATCGACGGCGACGTGCCGCTGCCTCGGCCTGGTGTTGTTGTTTTTTGCTAAAATAATGCTAAAGTAAAGTGAAGTAAGAAGAAATATAAGCAGCGCTCGCAGCAGTGACGACGACAGCGACAGCGACGGCGGCGGCGGCGGCAGCAAAGAAAATAAGGTAAATGAAGAGCGGCCAGAATACCTGTTTTACCTGTTTGTATACCTACTAACGTACTAACACTGTTATAGCGGATTCACGGCGCACACGCCTGACAACAACAACAACAACAACTACTACTACAAAAACATCAGCAACAGCAACTACAACAACTACAGCAACAGCCACAGCAAAAGTGCGCTTGAAGACGCAACCAAGCTCGAAGTCGACGTCGCAGCCGCAAACCCAGCTCCCAACAGCAACAGCAACAGCAGCAGCAGCAGCAACAGCAACACCAGCAAAATCCAACCCAAGCCGCAGCCCAGAACCCCAGCCCACTCCATCCCCTCACACCACATCGCCCTGCCTACCCGTGCCACTACCAGTGCTCCCCATCGTGTTTTTTTTTTCTTTTTTGTTGTGTGCAGATTCTGAAGTTCTTGCGCATTCGGACTTTGGTTACATCTTTCGTTTTGGCTTTTGCTTTTGCCCCGTTGCCCGTTTTTGTATTCAGTTGGGCAGCTTCGCAACTGCTCTGTTGCTCAGTTCCTCAGTTTCCTTTGGTACCAGATGCTGGAGCTTGTTGGTGACGTTGTTTGTTCTTTCGTTTTGTGCCGTTTTATGAACGCTTCACTTTTTTTGACGCAGGAATTTTGCTCACCTTACTTAACTCCCCATGCCGCAATCTCTCCACTGCTCCCCGCCTTGGAGCAATCCATTTTACTATGTCTATTGATTGCTGCTGCTCGTAATGAACTGTCAATAAATATATATACAAATATATATATATATATATATATATATATAAGTTTGTAGTAGTGGCTTGCACAGTGGTTTTACATACGCTAATTTATGTTGACGCTCATATGGAACGAGCCGATAGCTGACTAGAAGAGTAACATTGGCGTCTTGGACGTGCCAATGCTTAGCCTTAACT